AAAATAATAATGATAACAATAATCCAAAATTATTCATAAATGAACGGGGCGTCACACCAGCCATCGCATGCATCGAGATCTCGGCCTCCTCTTCGGGAACCCCAATCTTGACTTCTTGCTCCCAATCCTTCTCGACCTCGGGCTCTTCCTCATTCGGGTCTATAACGTGGATGACAAAAGCCTGCTTGCATTGATGACCAGGCGTAAATCTTTCTTCGCATTTAAAACATAGCCCTTTCTCCCGTCGGCGCTTTATCTCCTCAAGCGTCAAGTGCTTGACTGGTGGTCGTGTGCTATTTGTCAGTCGAGAGTTGTCAGGTGGTTGGCCGCTTGGAACCATATCGCTTGCATCCGGTTGTGTGCGTCGTGTCTCGGGGTAGCGTGCATCTGCCCATCCCCTTCGAGTTGCCACAAGATGATCTTCTCGGCGTCGGGCCACTTCCATGGCCGCATGCATTGATTCTGGTCGCTCTAAGCGAACCTCCGCGGCTAGATCATACTTCAGCCCACCAATAAAGGTCCCAACCAACGCAGTCTCGGGCCAGCCTTGTACGCGACATGCCAATCGCTCGAACTCCTTAAGATAGTCGCGCAAGCTGCCGGTCTGTCGTATGCGGGATAGCGCCTCGTGGTAATTGTGGTAGTCGGATGAGCCGAAGCACGTGAGTAACTCGCGTTCGAAATCGTTCCATCGAATGACTCGCTGTCGGCTTCGGTATACGCTAGTAAGCCACTGCCACCACACGTTGGCTTCTCCATCTAAGTAATAGGCAGCGTATCTTACCCGATCACGTCCTTCGGTCTCGTTGAGATCAAAGTATTGAACGGCTCGATTGAGCCAAGCCTCGGGATTGTTGCCGTTGAACGTGGATAGTGTGATCCTCAGCTTTTCGGGCTTCGGGTGGTCATGATAGTTAGACGCCTGGGACCGTCGGTCAAAGTCGTCTTCTCGCTCGTACTCCTCGCGCCGTTGCTCGCGATCTACGTCTCGCTCGCGCTCATCATGTCGCCGTTCCTCTTCGTGTCGCTCGCGGTCGTGGCGTCGTTCGAGATCCCGATCTTCGCATCGTCGCGCTCGGTCATCATCATGCTCGCGTTCGCGGCGTCCCTCATGATCCGACCGCTCGCGATTGGGCCGTCGGGTTGGTGATTGGCGCGCCACCATGTTGCGTGCCA